TTGAGAACCACGCACGTGATTACAAAACTCTCGGTATATGTAACCGTATGCGAATAAAGAATTGCGATGACCTCATCGACGCGAGAGCGAGTCCGCTAAAAAAGCTAGCTACGTCGTTCACGGCTGACTGTAGCACTTTGCACTTTTCGTACCTCGCTGGAAAAAGCGGACTCGCGATCGTAATCTGCGCAATTGATCCGAGCAATCGCGGTATATTATCGAGGTGTCATCTCTTTCCCAAAATGCTCTTAATCATCTCGCAATCTTATCGCCACGTAATATTATGATATTATGCAAGTACGATAACCGTTAAAACCGCGAAATACGTGAATTTTCTTGACGAATTGCTATCAATTCATACCACTGTCAAAATTAAAATATTAATTTTAACACAAATGTTAAAATTTGCATTTTGTATTTATTTTAACATTTTTGTATGCTTAAAAAGTCTACTATACGTTTCTAAAATTAACATTTTATTTTTTACAGTGTATTCTTTCATAATTGTGCGCGCCAGTGGGATTAAAATATCCTAATAAAAACGCATTTCTGAATCTTATTTTTAACATTTTTGTAAAAAAGATTTTCACTGTTAAGTACTAAAGAAACAGTGTAGTTTAATCTCTTAAATTAAATAATAATTATTTTTAACTTTTCCAATTATGTCATAATATGAATTAATCTATTTCTATGTGATTAGTTTCAAAAAAGTTAAATAATTTAACCCTATTGTTATAGTTAAATTAATAATATAATAGAAGCAGTGTGTGACGACCTATAGAAATAATTAAGAATAATTCAAGTTATATATAATTTGACATTATGAATTTAACAATGTTTGTCTATCAAAATATTTCTTCTTTAAATATGAATTTTTCCGAAAGTTGAATTTATTCTGTAAATCCAGCGATAAGACGTATAATCATTACTCGTGTTTGAACACGAGAATTCATGCGTTTCTCGTATGCTTGAAATATAACGGAAGACATTGCGAATCTCTTTCTGGAATTTCTGTCAGTGCACAAAGAAGGAGCGTCTCGGTCAAAGTCATATACTTATGCATATATTATATATACAATACTATACATTTCCGGGAGACAACGCGTCGCGTCTTTTAGAAATTACCTCCGTACCTTCCGCTTACGTGTACCTCTCCTAATGGCTGGCTACTTATCTCGTTTGATCCGGTTAAACGATGGTACTCGTGTGCCAGGAATATCTAAAATATCATCTCTCCGTCACTGTATGTTCGCGATCGGAAAAATGAGATGTGCCAGACAAGTTACGGCCGTTAGATAAACGCATCGGAAAGCGTCTTCGAGAGTCTTGGTGAAAAATATAATCAAAAGTGATCAGACGAGATACTATTAAAGACGACCTTGCCTTTGGGTAAATTTTTGTGATTATATCAATGGGGCCCCGAAGGTCTGGAAATAATTAAAGAATGATGACATTATCGACAATTAATAAAAATTTGCAATTATTAATATAAATACGTACTTCGATAATACATGATTAAATTCGTGATTTTTTTTATTATATAAATGCTGTATAAATAAGTACGCATATTTTAAATACTATAATATCTTATATATTGCCGAAAAATTATAATATTTTCTCTGCGCAGTTACCATCTATTGATAATCAAACTCGGATGATAACGTTAAAACACAGTTTTAAATAAAAATTGAGTATTAAGTTTTAGACGTACATGTCTATAGAACTAATAAATCATGAAATTAGTACTGTATTATCAGTTTCTTACTCTTAATCACTTTAATCACTTCAATTTGAACAGTCACGCGAACCCCCCATAAGAACCGATCGTCTTTAACAGTATTTTTTCGGTGTCAAACTGACGCAAAAAAAAAGTATAACTGACAAGTTCGATGGATTTATAATAAGAACTAGATTTAGCAATTCAGAAAATTAAACTCGGATCTAATACGGATTGAGCAAATATGCATCCAGATTTAAAGTTAACTCTTAAATTAGGAAACGAATCGAAAGACAATGCTATCAAAGTGTAAATGTAAATTCTTTCTATCTTTTGTAAAATGTGACCCCCAACGTGAGGTGACGTATGTCAAATTAACTTCGTATCACTAGTATTGATGTCAATTTGATGTATCCTTAAATGAAGGTATATTTCATTAATATTAATATATTATTACGATTATTACTTTCTAGATGATTTTATTGTATAATCTTTATAATATTTTACAAACAAAATATAATTTTTATCAATATAATTACAATAATATATTTTATTTTCAAATGTGTTCTTTTAGAATGTTTTATTTTTTTTATGTTTAATAGTCGCCACGGCAAATTGTGCAGATTTTTGCCAGACACTCCAAATACGCAGGTGCTCCGCATTTGTTGCACAAATATGACGTTCTTTTCTTCATCTTTGCTGATTAAATTACACAGGTTTTTTTATTTTTGTAGCCTTCTATATAAAATATATAAGTAAAAACACACTTTTCATATTTAAAAATAAAAGATATTATTATACTTACATTAATAAAAATTATATCTTGTTTGTAAAATATTATAAATATCATATGTAATAAAATTATCTAGCAAGTAACAAATATATCGTAATAATATATTAGTGAAATATACTTCCATTTAAGGATATGTCAAATTGACGTCACGTTAAAATTTGTGATATCAAAAAAGATGGTCACCAAGAGGTGAACCTCTTTTCACCTTGAAGGTTAACATTGCTCAACAAATTTTATATGCCCTACCGTGTACGAAACAATAAAATTTTTATATTATCATAAATACAATATATAGTAAAATGTTTAATTTGTGTAATTAAATAATATTATATTCTCATTATAACGTAATGTTTTTAAATTATGCACTCTTGTTTGCACTATGCATTGTAATGTAAAACTAAAATAACGATATAATAGGGGCTGTTATTTTAGACGCCTCCATGTACATACGCTGGAATGTGCTCGCGCGGATGAGTAAAAAAACTGCAAAGACAATCAATTTAAAAAATGTCTACTCTTAGCGCTACCCAAAACTACGACGAAGACGTACCAAGATAATGGTTTCGATTCTTTTTCCTCTTTTAAATTTTATAACTTTTTTTATTGTTAAAGAAAGACATGACCTATTACGTCGAACGTTGTTTTCTCGCTGACTCGTGTCTTTATGGCCTTGTAATTACGAGAATAATAGGTATGCTTGTGCAACTCAAAATGTGCATTAATTTCTGTATAAAAGCCTTTACTCTCTTAACAATTCTATATCTACGAAGTAACAATGACTACTGTTCGCGTTAAGGTACAACGTATAAATGACGATAAATACAACTGATCGCTACGGGTTGGCATCGCCTTGGCGGAACGGGGAATCACGTTAGTACACGCTAATATCGTGACAGCGTTCCGTTATTCATTGCAAATACTGAAAATCTAATAATAATATACGTAACATGAACTACAGGTTTTCAATGCTTATAAATGAAATGCAGAATATCAGAATAGCCGCCAAAGCGCCATTTTTCAACGGCTATACACATTACATGAGTGCATTTACATACATGTACCAGTGTAGACGAAGATTTATTTTTTATATTTTTAATTTTTTAATTTTAATTTTATTTGTGTATTTACTTTGATATCACGGATATAATTATTACAATAAAATATTTTATGTTTTGTCTAATTATATATTTTATAATAATACATGTCGAAATAATAGTTATTTTGTAAAAATTTAGAATAATACATTTTTAAGATAATAAATTTGGATATATATATATATATATATATACATTTCGTAAAGAGAAAGGTAACTTATTATAGAAATTATATTTTTTTACCTTAGCTTTTGCGAATATATCTATAAAATTCTTTGTAATGAAAATCGTTGGCTTCATTAACCAATTTTAACCTAAACATTCATAAACAATTTATAAATAATTTTAATAATACTGATCATCAATAACCGTCAGGATGCCATTGAAAAATCAGTTGATCACGCGGATGATGGGTAGTACTCTATATTAATGTGTTAATAAATCATGCTTTTTAAAGAATTATTAACGAAAAATTCATCATCATGGGGCCGCGGCCGGCGGGAAGCACATCTCGATCTCGCAGACTCTTGGTTCGGTATCTTGTTACATTTAACGATGAACATCTGTTCATTGAGGATGGAGACGAAGCCCAAAGGAGATTTGATGCAGCAACAGCAAGATTTTGCGCCGCGTTTCAATTTGACGAGCGGATTCGGTATTTACAGACGTCGATTTCTACGCAATCTAGCATTGCTTCTCGATGCATGTGCACATAGAAACGGTTGCTATTTCGGTGCCGGGTGCGCCAGTTGACGTCACGCACATGCGGCTCTCGAGGATGCGATTTAACGCGATAATCGCCTTTCGCGATCAAAACTTTGAGATGTTTTTATTTATGAGTTGTTGCCAAAATTATGGTTGCTCGCGAAAAATAAGCCAGTGCGTCATATATTCAATATATGTATCTACGAGTATGTGGCACAATTGGGTCAATTCTAAGTAGAATCATAAGACTTGTAACTTGTTCTCGTAAAACTTGTACGATTATAGTATTCTAATTTTATGCGTACGTATCGTAAGACGTATATATGATTGTTAGTAAATTTCTGATTTCTTGTAAATCTTATGGCTACCTAGCTATCTGTAAAGATATTATATAAAGGTATAAGCACTCAAGAGTTCTTATAAATCTTACGAAAATATGTTACAAGCTATACGATTCTGTTTAGAATTTAGGCAAATATCTCATTGCTTTACCGTCAATTAAAATTGATTTATGAAAAATTAAGCTCGTTGCATTAAATTTGCATGTATAATCTAACAATAAATGTGCCACATGCTTCTTATATTAAAAATATATAACAAATATTGAAATATTTGAAATATTTAAAATACTTAAAACTCGAGATTAAAAAAATTAATTTCGATAATTCTTTTTTGTGAGATTAAGACTTACTCAGTATCAGGCACAGGTATCATAGGAGGAGGTAGGCGGCCGTTGTGGTCCAGAAAGTGATTGATCTCAGGTTCCTCTTGCACTGGGGTCTCATAAACGAGTGTTTCCACCATCGATCCTTTACTCGAGCCGAAGGATACCCTAAACAGTAATCAATTCTTATTGAAGCAACAAATACATAAATAAACAAACAAGTTCATGGATAAATTTATAATGAAATTATTACAGAATTATATAAACAAATATGTAAGAATAATATTTTCTCTCCACATTTTCAGAAACGTCTTTATAGCTAAATGACTCTTTACTTATTTTAACATCTTTTATTCGACATGCGGTCGAAACAGGTCACATGATATCGATCAGCACATGAAAAATACTTGTTGTAAACCTCAGTTTTCTATCGCGTGACCACAACCGACAACCGCAAAGATGATATCAAAATCAAAATCTCGCTATCGCCATGGCATCATATTACGATCGCGCGTGATCGAGATTGACCCGTATATAAGTATAAAGTATATGTCGCACATAGTTATTCATTACTCGCCTCGGAAGTGGCTCCAGCGAAAAAGAATCAGAAAAAAATCCCGACAAATTCATTCAACAACTATTCACAAAAATTACATGGTATATTTATACAAGAATAACTTTTTAGTAATTTTGTATATTATAATAATTACTAAATATGTTCGCAACATATGATAGACGTTTCAACTCCTCTCTGTTTGAATCCTCTTAAAGGAGATAATACATAGACAGGAATTCTGATCCTTCCCTCCATCAACACAATCAATTAGATAAAACTTCTGGTCAAACCATTTACAAAAACCCGTGTGAAGCTGGTCTCCCAATATTAAAAAATTGATTTTTTTCTTCATGCATTTGTTTGCTCACGAATGCTCAGTTGGAATTTTCGTTTGCTCACCCTTAGTTCAAAAGATATACGAAAATTATGTTTTGTGAGGCCAACTTCACACTAGCCCCCCAATATTAAAAAATCGATTTTCGTATATCTTTTGAACTAAGGGTGAGCAAATAAAAATTCCAACTGAGCATTCGTGAGCAAACGATGAGCAAACGAATGCATGAAGAAAAACATCGATTTTTTAATACTGGAGGTCCGGGTATGTTAAGTTAGCACCCCAACTATAGTACTCAGGAGTTCTGATTAGAGTTCCCCCTTCCTTTTGACGAGACGAAGAGTTCCCTATAGTTAATAACAAGAGTTCCGCTCAATAAACATTCTTTTTAGATTTTTTAAAAATGGAGTGCTAACTTTTTATCGAATTTCGCATTATTTATTCATTTTCATGAATTCTAAGTATGCACATAAGGATATTATTAATATTAACAAGATATTTGATACATCTGATATACAACAGCATCGTGCTTATTATATGTCAGAATTGGTAAAGTTGTATTTTTTAGCAAAATTTCCCGTATTTTTTAACTTAACAAAACAATAAGTAAATTTTTACTTTCTAATATTAACCAATAGTGTAATTATTTAATCTTTTCATAGATTTTAAATATGCATAATAAATGTAATTAACAAAATATTTAATATTTATGATATATATATAGATATATATATAAATGTGTATAAAATGTGTTTATTGAAATCTTTTAAAGAAATAAAGTAAAAGTTCTAGCTGCATGTGCAAACACATCTATCTGCCAATACACACTTGCAAAAATAAACGCTAAATACGCAACAGTATTTCCTAAGAACGCAACAGCGTTTTGGCAACGGATCAGTTCCTTTTTAGAGTGATTCAAACTATGCGTTGCCAGTATTATTATCAAGAACCTAAATAAACGGTCATCCTCGAAAATACATTAATTGATGTTACAATGAACATGTTAGTGTATTAAATATTCTTGGATAATAAAAATTATGTAAAAGAATTAACAAATTGTTAAAATAATCAACACTCTTCAGAAAGCGCATTAGGATACATTCAGAAATATATAGGAATTACCATAGAATTATCAGAACGAACTATCAAACTGTCAAATTGGACAGCGTTTTACATATAATAAAAAAAAAAATTTCCTGAAAACTTTTATTCAACTTTTATTTAAAAATATTTTTCTTTTTTAGTTTTAATAATATTTGCTTTAAAAGAAAAACAATTGAATTTTTTTGGATACATAAAAGTACGTATTCATTATTTTAATGTATTAATATAGGTATTAATAATAGATTTTACAATGAGATCATGTTTTAAAATATATTTTTAAAAAAACGATTTTAAAATCGTATATTTAAAAAAAACTATTCGTCATTATGCAAAATAGTTTTAGGAAAATATGAAGTTCATCTAAAGAATTAATTTGACCCAATAAGAATAAGTTAAATCAGTGTAGAATTAAAAACGGCATTATTGATACGCCTCTTTTGTTGTCTAAGCAATTATTAGATAACCAAAAAAATAATAAATCAGAATAACCAAATTTGTATTAGAACATTACAATTTTTTAATGAAAAAGTACGCAAATTTTCATATATCAACAAAATCAATGGTTATCGATTTTGTTAATATGTATGAAAACATTTCTGTCAGTGGAATTTTTATCGACGAGAAACTGCAAGAGTACTTTTGCGTACATCATGTTTAACTGCTGTTACGTCTGAATCCGTTTAGTTACTCTAATTCATCTTCAAATATTATTTTAATTATACAGTTTTGATAATATCATAACATTTATAATACAAAGTGTTATAAAACATACACAATCGACAGGATAAAGTTTCTTTCTACTTCGCGTTATTTCACATTAATTTCATAATGATACATCTCTCTAGCTATTTCGTGTGTCTCTTGTCAGAATTACGAGTATTATAATAAATGCATGCAAGAGACGGTCTCGGTACGTAGCGACACTCTACTTTGATGCATTAAGGCGCCCCGTCGAAGTCACGGTGAGGTTAACCCTGACCTATCTTTCGTGCAAGTACCGGTAAAAGTTTCGCACACACGTGCGAAAGTCAGCCTGTAGATTCGATATGTAGTTTTCGAGCTCCACTTTTTTTCGCGAAAGAGAGGCACTTTATCGTGTGAAATCCAATGAATTTGCTGAGAGAGGGGAAGAGAGGAGAGAGTTTATTTAAAAAAATAAAGGTTGAACTTTAGAAATTATAAAAGTCACACAAAAATGTTATTACATATCAACGTTCACTTTGATTGAATATTGCCTTTGAATGTTTATTTGTGTTGAACATTGCTCGCTCTCTTGAATTTCATTTATAATTGTTTAAAAAATGATTTAATGTTTATTTTATAGGGTGTGCAAGATCTAGATTAGTGACTTCTCGTTTGCGAATAACCTTAATTTGAAATAAATCACTTGTTTGATAAAGCAATCTTCTTTCACTTACCTCTTCAGGCTGGCGTGCTTCGCGCCGTTGAGAATCTTATTCTTGCGTTCGCTGCCGACGGTACTGGCTACGCTGTCGATGCTGTAGAGGCTATCGTCCTTAGTAACTCTGCTGGCGTTGTGGAGGGTCGATTTCCTCGCGGTAGTCGTCCCATTGTGCTTCGGGCTCTCGACCAGTCGAGGGAAACCGTGCCGAGCGACAGGATCGCCGCCGGCCGGATCCTCGATCTTGGTGGAGACTATCATCGCTCTAGTCGTGTCCGCGCATTGTCTGGGAGATGTGCTCACCACAGTGGTGCTCTTCTGCAGCTTGCTGGCCGTGCGATAATTGTTCTGTTGACTGCTGGGTTCGCCGGGCGGTGGCTTGTCCTCCGTCGGCAGCATGTACGACAACATTGTTCCTTTTTCTTTCACCTAGGTAAACGGGAAACAAACACGTAGACGGAAATTCAGTACAATCGCCGTGGAAGATCGGCGGGAGTCATTAACCAGGTAGACACGATGATGAGAAAAATACGTAGCGATACAAAAGAGATCAATTGAGGGTCGTCACAAATGGACAGAAAACAAGTATACCGTTCACGGTAATAAGAGCATGACGGCAAAGCCGGTTGATTAATGCTCCGAGACACATAGTTGGAAGTTAACAATATACCATTCGCAACAATTACTTAGGAAAGATTCAGACGATTCTATAGAATTTAGTAGACATGTACAGTTTTAAAAAAGATTTATTTCGTAAAATAATCTTTTTTAAAATATTGTATATGAATTATATAATGTATGAAGTTTGTATCATTCAAAAAATAGTGTTTTAAAATCTGTAGTTTTAATTAGATACATATTAATTTTCACACCTCAGTAATCTGATAAATCGTACAAAAGAGTATTGAATTTTAATCAAATATTGTGAGTTAAGTTATCGAGAAACAGGTGGTTCCGTCGAGAACGCGGAACATATCAATAGCGAACATGTTCTTCGAGTATCAAAAGGATTAAGCCGTGTAAGTGGTTCGATATCTCGTAACGGTCGAGTGATTGTATGAAATCACGCGTGTCGCAGAGCTTATATTATAATCTATGTATATATAGCGAAGAACATTATTATTAGCGCAATGAGTCAATTGTCTCCTGTCAAACTGGTGTGTCGCGGTGCGAGTCTCCCGCGGATGAGCGTCATCGCCGTTATCACTAGCAGATAACTGTATCGGATCCATCCACCACGACGTAATGCAAATACTCGCAATGAATCGGAACGGGCACGAAGGAAACGATTCGCTTTAAATGTGATTACACGCAGTCACTGACCGACAGACCCGACTTCCTATCTTTAGGCGCCGGCCGCCGCGTCTTTGATGATAAAGTCAGCGATATCCGATATAGAAAAAAAAAACGTCCAAGAAAACGGTTACTTACTTAAGTCCAGGTCTGTGAAGCTGGCACCCCCAAACGCGAATTTTGGTAAAATTAACATCGCGTTCGATTGTTCACCATTTGTCCACATTTGTTCATCAAAAAAAAATGTTGTCCACCCTTGAAAAAAAATTACAAATAAATAAAAAATTATAGCACCCCCATGTGAATATTCTTCCGAATTACATACGGGATTCGATTGTCCACCATGCGTACGCGTTTGTCCACCCATAATTTTCTTTTGTTCACCATGGAGGTGCTTCAATTTTTTGTTTATTTATAACTTTTTTTCAAGAGTGGATAACATTTTTTTTTGTGGACAAATGTGGACACATGGTGGATAATGGAATACGATGTTAATTTTATTAAAATTCGCATTTGGGAATGCCAGCTTCAGAGACATGGACTTAAGTACTCGCTTATGATTTAAATTTTAAAAGATGATAATTCGCATTCTTAAACCTGCACCACTGCCAATATAAAAGAAATATGTGTTTATTATTTTTAACTCATCTACACAAATATACTAAGTTTAATTAAATTCAGCTAGTCAGAGAAAGTTAGGTTTACTTGTTAGATATACAAACTCACAATCAGTAATTGTTCGTTCAAGTATAATCTTAGATCCGCTGAATACTTATGTTATATACTTATACACTGAGAAAAAAGTTATTAACTTGACTAAATGCGTTTAATTCGTAGTGATTATTTAGTTCAAGTATTTATATATTTATTTAAATTAAATATACATGTGAGTTATGTCAATCATGTTATTTGTTCAAATTAACAAATTAACATTATTTCCTTGACAGCCCGAGACCGTAACATTATGCATCAACTAATATTCTTTTTGAAACAGCAACTTTTTTCTCATTGTCAGTGTACGAACTATAAAACTTTTATATTATATTAAGCAAACGCAGGACAGTTCTATGATTCAATCGTGAATTACTTTCATTTCTATGCGAATTTCTTATGAAATCGACATACCCGGATTTTCTATTTTAATTCTGTAAAAAAATTTTGCAATCCGTGAAGCCAGTTCGAAAATTTCGATTGCACTGTAATTCGGTGGTAATTGCCGTCGCTCCAACATCTCTTTAAACTCAATCTTAGTTTATGCTCAGATGCATTTGCCGTTGTTCGTTTCTCACGTGTGCGATTTCGCATGCGCGTTGCGACAAACTCGCGTCTCGGGACTGCTTCCGCGACTCAAAACACTCGTTCACTCGCACTGACGCCTGTGCGTTCAAACGAAGCCACATCACACGATTCCATTTTAATGATTATTTCAACTATCGAGACGGTCGCACTGCATTGATAGATGATCGAAACTTCTAAAATTATTTCAACCCCTTGTCGAAAAAGTACATGTTATTATTTCTATGTTGCGTTTGCGTTCCGAGAGTTAAAATGTGGAAATCACATATTGACATAAAATTCCATGTTTTTAAAAGCATTTTAAACAGTAGCTCCGAAACAGCGTCACTAATGCTTCCAACGTAAATGCTGTTACTTTTGGCGCAGCAGCGAGTAGCTTCCGTTACGCGGCGGATCGTGAGAAGAGAAGAGGAACGTTCGCCAGCGGAAAGTCGAACCGCGACTGAGCGTGACGCAAAAGCGAGGCAAAGGTTACAAGACAGACGGCCGGCTATAGCTACATCTGCTCTACTCCGCTTTAGTTGTCCGCTGTTCTTCGTTCTAGATGTTGTTTCTAGACGCCGCTTGATCCAGTAGCATACGTCAATTCGTCCTCCCGAAGCGCTTGCATCATGCACTATCTGTCGCACGTTTTCCCTAACTCAACGCGAATTCGGACTCCTACTTGTAAAATAGTGACTTCCTACAAGTAGAGCTCGCAATTGGTTGTTAACGTTGCATCGAGAGCAGGAGATCGTTTAAGATTGCAAGTTTTTATATTTAACGCGCGGAAATAGATCGATTCTGACAAAAAATTGGGAATCGCCGAATAATCGTACAACCGCGTCAATCTGTGTGGACCGTTCTTGCGTGCTTCTAATATTTATTAATTGCCTTCTTTAAGAGAAATACTTTCTCCATGTTTTAGCAATACATGTCAGCACCATTCTTTTTCTGTTACATAATGTCTTTCTAATAAAAATAACTAAATTGTATATACTGATCAATCTAATTTCTTTTTATTAGATATACATATATTGATAAGAAAGAGATTCAGACAAAAGATTAGCATTTATCTGATAGCTCCTTCGTATCTCGATCTCAAGATTAAACATGGCAAAAGAGTATTTATGATTATTGCAAAGAGAAGAAAATGTGTATGGTGTTTAAATCCACACTAAGTTGATGTTAATATTAAATCAACATAAACAAAATTATATGTAGACTCCGTATGACGTTAAATTCACACGATATTTTTTAGAGTCTAATGGTTTGTGAAATTTACAAAGGTGTGAAAATTAATTAAAACTGTCTAAAGCGGTTCGTATATTTATTTCTTATTCCTTAAATAAGATATTCTTTCTGTATCGTCAAAAAAGATCTCATAATATTTTCAGTTAAATAATTTTCCTATTAATGTAAAGGGAAATTTGACATAGATTAGATCAATTTTTATCGCAATGCGGAAGAATATAAACTGGACGTACTCACGTTCGCACCAAGAAATACTCGAAATGAGGATGTCCGAAATGTCTTCTTGATAGAGTAGCATTGGGACTACCTGAAACACATTTATAATCGATAAATGCGAATGTTTATTTTCTTTCCTTTTTTCTTTAATAGGTTATCTTTATTTTAAAAATTTATAAAAAGATACGTATATACATATGTATATGTTTCATAAATTTCTCTTAAGAATTTATCGGGGGGAATTATTTTTATAAATGAAAGTTAATATTTATACTTTAAACAAACTATAAACCTATACATATAAATATTGTGTTTTAAATAAGTATTTTGAGTTTTCATAAAATAAAAACTTATGCGAAGTTTTATTGCGATTTACTAATCAGATTTACAAATTAGAAATACAAAGATTTAAAATAAATGAATATTTTATTTATTTACTGGATAATTAATATCGCAATGTAACTTTATGTAAATAAATTTGCGAATATATAAAGTATTTTTAATAAAAAGTGTGAATTTAAAAACTTTTCAATTTGATAAGAGACACTTTTCACGTAAGAGTAGCCAAACCCGAGATATTTAAGAGGTAAAAAAATTCGTTTTCTTGGGCTAAATGCAATTTTTAACTCTAAAGTCAGTTTCTTATATCATCTTCTATCTCGCTTAATCGCGTATATCTGTTCTTATCTAACATATTGCAGCGTCATTTATTGCAAAAATTAGCATCTACTGAAAACACAATTACTGCTTTGTATCTTTAGCTAATGTATCTTTTTCTAGGCTGTATTTAGCCCGTTAAACCTTTTGGAATCATTAGATAAATTTCTTGTCAAGGGCAACTTCTGGAAACCGAGAAATAAATAACGAAACTCTCCCTGAAGACATTCGTGTTGCCGAGGGAAAACAGGCTGGCATTTAACGGAGTGAGTTCGGATGCTGCAGCAATATTTGAGTGAAATCATTCGAATACCTTTTCGAGCTATTGTGTATCTTTCACGTGCAAAACGATCAACTTCAATACCTCATGCGTGGTAAGCATAATAAATCGATAACAGCGATTTCTAAAGTAAGACTCCGACGAGCCGATATCTCTAAGGTACACGATAAGAAAGCCATACGTAGGGAGCGAAGTTATTTCGAACTCGGTGGTATACATCGGAAAATTAAAAGAGTCCGGCTTATCCGCTCGATTATTCTACGTCGGGTAACCGTCGTGCACCGCGATAATTCCGTTGCAGTTATCACCTTCGTGAGAACGTGAGTCACTTTATTTTGTGTTGTGTTAACCAAGGTCAAGTCGTGCGATGACGCGTGGCGATTACGTTGTTACATGCACGACAAATGATCATTGATATCGTCTCAAGATTTTGATAAAAGGAAAAATAGGCAACTCGAAGATACTCAACGATTCATTCCTAGTACTAAGATTTACTTAAGATTTTCGCGAACACTGTGAACAAACGAGAAGCAGACTCTCAAAATGCATTTTGTCCAAAATTTTATATTTTGAGTTAGAGATGACATTATGTTTGGTGTTAAAAACATATTTTAAGCTCTATTCTACGATATTCTGAAAGCACTTCTTCACCATCAATTTATTGTATATGCTGAAAAAAGTCTAGAAACTCAAAATGCATTATGTTCTTTAACTAGAGACAAACAAAATGCATTTGTTTAACATTTAACATCTTACTGATTAGCAAATTGTTATTTTCGGATAAACATGTTGTTTCCTTATGACTTCCTTTCTCGTTTTTAGAAAATTATAAATTATGGACAAAATGTATTTTGAAAGTATGCTGCTCAAATGTATAATTGAGATCAAAACTTTTGTATAAATAATCTATATAAATTCGGTTTTTATATAATTAGGAAAGCAGAAATTACAAAATTCTAAAAAATATGAGTATGAATGTAACATCGCATGCGATATATGAACATAATATTAAATCTATACTATATTATTCCTATTTATATCAACCAAAATGATTATATTTAATATTTATATATCGTCTTAAATCCACAAGCATATTTTTTAGAATATAATCATTCTTGTTTTTCGCAATTACATGAAAAACGAAACCATATTAAATCCACCTTAAATATTAAAGTTTATACCAACATCAATATAACGTGGATGTAACACCACGGTGTTTATGTAATTGTCATCATGTTGATAATAATATACACTGATATGATGTGGATTTATTACCATCAAATCCACACTCTAATTTTTAGAAGATATCAAAATGCTATTTACTGACCTATATTTTGAATTCATTCATTTCACGCGTTTGGGAAATATCGGGAAATATGAAGGTTAAACGCGATGACGACGAATTATACATAATGATAACTGCCGCGCTAGTTCCGCCGCGATTACGGAGCAATGATGCAATGCGTTTGAGTGCATCGGAGCGCTAAATTGATAAATTTGCATGCCCCTTCTGTTACGTTCGCAAGTGGCGTATTCTCATACGGTACGACCAAAACGGGCTTCGTCTCGAGAGCGGAATAAATCCTGCTGTTCGCATAATGCAAACAAAGCATGGGGGTTCTGCGATAAATATACCCTTACGAATCACTCCGAAATGTCAGTAGGATCGAGCATATCAAACAGATGCATAATGCAGTGCATCAATCGAATTAAAACGAATTAATTCGAAAGTTTCTCAAAAAGACATTTAAAAAAAATAATTGTTTTAAATAATTCTTTATATTGTATATACATATATATTTTTTTTCAATCTATGTAGGAGAATTATACAATTAACGTTAAATTATTATAGATAACAAAAACAAAGTAAGGTTTCGAACTGAAGTAGTAAAAAAAAATTGAAAAGATGTCTACTTGAAGTCTTACTTTTGGTAAGACAGATAAATTTACTTATTCAAAATATATTTATATCTTCGGTGCTAGTTTCTTATACATGGAGAGTATAAAAAACTATGTGAATTTGGCACTTCATATTGAAAAATCGGAAATTTTATTAATAGTTCTGCTTGTATCTATAACAGTTCCCGATAGATTTTATAAATAGCCCGTTTTTTAGCTAAAAAAAATAGAAATAAAAATATACTAACGAAAGAGACTAACTTTTCGCGTAGTACCTCAAGAGTTGCGAAAATATTGATTCTGTTATAAAATCTTATAGTTCTCGATTCTTATTATAATTCTAGATATATGTATCTTAACAATACACATGATTTTAGGATCTCCTTACAGAAATCACGCACGTAGTACGTGGGATCAGATGACCTGTCACGTCCACGTGATCTTGGATAACGCTGGAGCAGGAAAATATACTGGGTGTCTCATTTGAATTTTGACCCCGAAATATCTCGAACATTATAAGAGATACGGAAAAGTGTTTTAGACAAAGTTGTAGGGTTGCCATATTTAGTTAATCTTTTTTTTTCAGAGTAAAGACATCCTAAAGATAATTTTAGGATGTCTTCGATGAAGTATACTGACCAATATTTTCCTAAATATAGTATATACGTTACTATCCTATGGTAGTGCGGATGCGTCAGAAAGTACTGCGATTTGAGATCACTGACTTCCGCTCGAGCGCGCGTACATATATTATATTTTCAGCCAGAAAGTTGATTCACGAGCCGACCTGAGTCCAGGAATAGTTGATCACTATGAAGCCGTCGCACCGCGCACAGGAAGGGTCGGTTAGCTCGCTCGACTTTCATTGCGGGTCTAGTCGTCAAGAAAACTGACGTTTACTGCTATATAGAGTAGTCTCAAAGTTAAAGACAGCGCGTCTCGCTAGAGATCGCGTTATACAATATTATCGACGGCGTTATGTTATTCGCAATTTAATTATCTTGCCATCTAATCTAATCCGACACGATAATTATAACGGAGTCGTTCTGCTGTCGCTGCTTGTTAGCCCACACACGCTGTCCGAAGGCGAGAAAATGCTTGCAAAGTACTTTATAAGATATTTGTGTTGGACGTCGATAATGTATACTCTAAAAAATATAATGTGAATTTAACGCCATACTTGTTAATAAATATACTTTTCACCGTGATATTAATATTAACACCAACATGGTATAAATTTAAAACTTCTGGTTTATATTAACATGGGTTTTAAATCCATACCATAATGGTGTTGATTTAAACAGGGTGAATTTAAAAGCCATTGTGTTAAATCCAGACCATACTGAGGTTAATATTTATTAACGTTAACATAGTAAGAATTATATAGACACCGTATTGTGTTGATGTTAAATTGAAATACATTTAGAGTGTCAGAGTATGGAATAAATATGTAGTCAAGTCCGATAAAAGTAGAAAGACATCAAAAATAAAAAGTTGACCAATTTTGACAAAATTCAGTTTTGTCGGAAAACTCAAATATGAGGAGAACATTCTACTGTGATTGGTCGATTCTTGCAACTTATATTATTTACAATTACGTTTATGCAATTGTAGAACAGATTTTATGGTTAGTGCATTACAATAATGTCAATATTTAAAAAACCAATCAATGTATAATACAAGGCACTTTCATACTGCGCGCGCAATGTGCCATGCCTGACGTCTTATAAGTTAGCAGAACAAAGTGAGCAGAATCGATTTTAACTAACATTTTTATTTGTTACTCATTTGTTGCTAACAAGTTGCCAAAGAAAAAAATCTGTTGCTCTATTAAATTTTTTTTAATGTTCCGCTAAAGGATATATACATAGAATAAAGCCAATCCACGTAAAAATAACGTAGGAATTTGTTGCTGTTGAAACATACAAGTTATTTTGTCGCTTGTAAAATAAGTATAATTAACAACAAAAAACCTCAGTATTATAGTGGAACAAGAGGATAAAGCATCAGTTGTAAAAAAATAAGCATTTTTTTCTTTGACAACTTGTTAGCAACAAATGAGCAACAAATAAAAATGTAAAATCGATTCTGCTCACTTTGTTCGGCTAACTTATAAGACGTGCCTGAGGCGCTACTATTGACTAACTTTAATCGTTCATAATTTGAAAAGTATTGTAGCCTCGTTATTTTTGCGTAAGAGCTTTCGTCTTAGAATGTTCCACAAAATCTGACAGTGAAAAGATTTACACTCTTTC